CGCTGCTTCTCAGGCTGCTGTTGCTGCTGCTGCCACTGCTGCTGTTGCTGCTGCTGCTGCTGATTGCTGCTGCTGCCGCTTGCCAGCCGCCCTGCCTTCCGCCATCTGTCGTGCGGCCGCGCTTATTGCTGCTGCTGCTGCTGCTGCTGCTGTTTTGCTGCTGCTGCTGTTGCTTTTGCTGCTTTGCTGCTGCGGCTGCTGCTGAGCAGCTCGGCCGATTGCTGCGGAAGGCTGGGCTGGTGGCGATGGCCCTAAACCCTAAACCCTAAACCCTAAACCCTAGACTTTAAATTCAAATTCTTGACAGCAAATTGAATTTGGTGACACCCACAGCAGCAAAATCTCTAAACCGCAGAAGTACACTGTGGGGCACAATCGACGCATGCGGCAGCAGCAGCAGCAGCCGCAGCAGCAGCAGCAGCAGCAACAGCAGAGGTACCTTTTTAAGGTACCCTCAAAGAGCCTTTACTTAGCTCTTTATTTTCTCCTCTGTTGCTGCAGCAGAAATTTGCAGCACATTCTGCTGCTGCTGCTGCTGCTGCTGCTGCCTAGGGGCCCCCAGGCTTCGGGGGCCCCCAGACACCGCGGGTCCTCTCCAGCAGCAGCAGCAGCAGCAGCAGCAGCAACAGCAGCAGCAGAAGATGAAGCAAAATTTATTCATATCTCCCATTCTTTCTGCTGCTGCGGCTGCGTGTGGCTGCTGCTGCTTCGGCTATGGGTTGCTGCAGCAACGGGAGGCGAAGCTGCAGCGGCAGCGAGTTGCAGCAGCAGCAGCAGCAGCAGCAACACAGTCTTCTTCTCCCCACAGAGACTTAGTTCCACCAGGCCAGCTGCAGCGGCTTGTACAGCAGTGCCGCGCCGCCAGCAGCAGCAGCAACAGCAGCAGCAGCAGCAACAGCAGCAGCAACAGCAGAGTGGACATCTGCGGCGAGGCCCTTTACGCTGCAGCAGCCGCAGCAGCAGCGATAAGCAGCAGTACCAAAGCACGCTCCAGCTGCGACAGCAGCAGCAGCGAGGCCAGCAGCAGCAGCAGCACTGACAGCAGCACCTGCAGCAGCAACACAGACAGCAGCAGCAGCAGCAGCAGCTTCGCGCTGGGGGTTATTGAGTCCGCCAGCGTGGCTCCAGAGCCTTTTGTTTTGGACTTCAAAAACTTCAAATTTAAAAGCAGCAGCAAATCTTTGCTGCTCACCTACACAATACCCCCGAACCAGCAGCAGCAGCAGCAACAGCAGCAGCAGCTGCAACAGGAGGATGAGGGGCATATCTCTGGGAAGGTGAAGATTTCGCTTCCCAGAAGAGGCCCCTCAGCAGCAGCAGCAGCAAATGCAGCAGCAACAGCAGCGGACAATGCAGCAGCGGATGCAGCAGCAGCAGCAGCAGAAAATGCAGCAGCAGATGCAGCAACAGCAGCAGATGCAGCAGCAACAGTGCAGGTCGTGTCGCTGGACCAGGCATTTTGGGGTGTACGTACAGGGGACTTGCTGCTGCTGCAGTTCAGCAGCAGCAGCAGCAGGCAGGAGCGCAGCAGCAAAGAGTGCAGCGGCAAATATAAACCCCTTCTTATCATTTCACAAGCTTGGGGGCCCCCCAAACCCACAGGGGCCCCCGAAGGGGCCCCTGAGGGGGCCCCTGGGGGGGCCCCCGGGGGGCCCCCAGGTGGTACGGGAGCCCTTGGGGGCCCCCTAGAGGGTACTAACAGACCCCGTGGGGGGCCCCCCGAAGGCACGGGGGGCCCCTTGGGGGCCCCCGGGGGGCCCCCAAAGGGTACTGGGGGGGGGCCCCCTGGGTACACTATAGGGGTTTGCGGCGAAGGCAGCTTCTGCTGCAGCAGCAGCAGCAACGGGGTTGCTGCTGCTGCTGCTGGAGGGTTTATGTTTGTTTTGGGAGGGCTGAAAGCCTTCATCTACTTTGTCGCTAAAAGGAGGTTTAGGGTTTAGGGTTTAGGGTTTAGGGTTTGGCCCAAACCGGAACCCTCAAGCCAAACGCCTGTTTGAGAAAACCCTTGGGGTTTGAAAGCTAGGGTTTACGACTTTGGCCAAGCATCTAGGGTTTAGGGTTTAGGATTTAGGGTTTAGGGTTTAGTTCGGATCACATAATAGCACAGCGGTCTTCGTCGCTTTCCTCGGAGCTGCTTTCCTGCAGACAAACCCTAAACCCTAAACCCCAAACCCTAAACCCTAGCGAAGTCCTGGAAACCCTAAACCCTAGAAGTCTTAGACCCTAACTAAATCCAAGCAGTAGCGCGAACACGCACACAGCAGCAAATCCTCAACTCCGGACACCTAGGGTTTAGGGTTTAGGGTTTAGGGTTTAGGGTTTACTTCGTGGTAGTCAAGCTCCCAAAGCATCCCATTCGCGAGGATCAGCTGTGCCATGTCAATGAACATCTGAACGCAAACCCTAAACCCTAAACCCTAAACCCTAGCCCTGAGGAGTAACCCTAAACCCTAGCTCTAAGGAATAAACCCTAAACCCTAGCCCAAACCCTAAACCCTCGCTTTTTATATAGCTCTTTCCGCAGGCAGCTGCGGTTGACGAGCGCCCGCAAAGAAGGGTTTAGGGTTTCTCGAGGGTTTAGGGTTTAGGGTTTGGGGTTTAGGGTCTGCTGACCTTCTTTATATTCTTTCCTGTACAGGCTGAGACGTGCCACAGGCGGCAAAACATTTGCTGCCTGAAAGCAGCAGCAGCAGCAGCAGTAGCAGCAGCAGCAGCAGCTAGTCTCCGTGCAGCTCTGCAGCAGCCCTAGGGAGCTGCTGCTGCTGCTGCTCGACTCTAGAGGACACTGCGAGGGTTTAGGGTTTAGGGTTTAGGGTTTAGGGTCTCCACGAACGCGTAGAGCTCCGCTCGGCCAAGCAGCCGCGTGGGCACATCGCCTTGAGGATCCACGTCTGCAGCAGCAGCAGCAGCAGCAGCAGTAGTAGTAGCAGCAGCAGCAGCAGCAGCAGTAGCAGTAGCAGCAGCAGCTGCACTGGCAGAAGCAGCAGTA